CCTGCAGTCAGCAGTGATGCTTTTATACACCAGGAGCTTTCCACCTTCTGCCTGTGCTGTGGTGGTGTTTCCACCCCTTATCTGTGCCCTGCTGTTGATAAAACAGGAGAAGGATCACATTGGGATGGAGAGAGTTCAAACCTCTGCCACGTGGGTGTGAATGAAACTCTTGGTCTACACAGACAATGCTGATAATTGAAAAAATTGAAAAAATTGGAAAAATGGAAAAATTGAAATTAATTGAAAAAATATTGCAGTGGTTGAAACAGTGTCAAGGCAAATGAGTGCTTTTTTTACTCTATTATCCCTTGTTCTTCCTGCTGAGGGTTCTTATTAGGTTTTGCTACTTGTTATTGGGTGTTTTATTGATCATGATATAATGTTCCCAGTATTGGATCCTTGTAAAAGCTGGAATTTGGCACAGCAGTGCTGAGGAACAGCTTGTAGATATAGCAATGCCCAGTATGGGTAATTTCAAACAAAAAAATGATTCTTTCTAGGTATGGTGACTAGTTCTGTTCTCATTCTCTGAAACATGGAGCTGGAGCAGCCCAGATTAAGTCTGGACCAGCTGAGGTTCTTGAGGTTCAAAAGGACAGCTGGACTCTGAGATACATCTTCTAATAAGTTGCAGAAATTTCCTGTTTCAATGCCTAAACCTTTCCACTCCTGCAGAAAATTAGAGAAAATATATAAAAGCATTTTGGAGCTGATGCCTTCCTATCAGACTAGACAAAAATTTATTGTATCCTAAAAAAGCTCTAGAAGTAAAATATTGCACACAGAGGGACCTTCATCCTCTTTCTGTGAATTGCTGAGACAGTTCTATCTTCTTGCCTGTCCTTGAAACAAGTCTGCACCTCTATTTCTGCTTCAGACCTCATTAAAAGGCTCTTTAGTCTTGAAGCAAATAGACAATATTCTCCTTTGTAACAATACTTATTTCCAGGCAATATAACTCAAGGAGTATTTCCCAACTCGCAGATAAATTAATTTTAGTGATGCTTGACAGCAATTCCATTTTTCCAGTAAGAAGTCTTACAGTAAATTGAGACTGGAGAATTGCGTTATTCATTTGAAAGATGTTTCTAGAATGTCTTTAGGCTCTTCTGGGTAGTGACAGTCTCATACAGAAATGAAATGGCCTTGCTTTGCTGTAGATTTATTAGTACCACTATTTTCTGCAGCTTCTCTCCTCTCAGAGTTCCTTGTTTTCCAAAGTCTTCCTTGTTAGAGAAGTTGTGCTTCTTTTGTGGGCTTGCTATTGATAAAGTCAGCTCTGAGAAGATAATCCTCAGAGAAGGATTAAATGTTGTTTGCCCATTTATTACAATGAGTAAACTGAGTCAGAAAGACTCTAATTTTCTTAAAGTCACACAGCAACCCATTGTTGCAATTGTCTGGTTCAGCAGCACATTCTAATGGGTTTCCATGCTGCCTGAGGCCCAAAAAGCCAATAATTCAGCCATGTTCAGTACAGAAATGAGAGCAGAATTTGTCATGCAAAACTTCATGTGCCAGTGCAAGAGACTGAAGGGGCCTTGCTCTCATTTTAACATTTATCTTTATTAAATTTTTACAAGAACATTCAAATTAATCTGAGTAATTATAGTGGAAGTGATGGGCCTGTTTTACATGGTTTCAGCTGCGACAAAAACCTTCAGAAAAACAGATGCTTTGCTGCTTGCTCCACTTGGCTGCCAAGGGTTTAATATTTTAATGATACAGGGGTGAAGAGTTTGCATGAAATAGAAGTAGCTCCAGGGACACAGGAAAAGTATAAAAGTGAAGCTTCCAGCTTCACTACAAGAAGGTGGTGAACTGTCACTATGATATTTTCTGAAAAATCCCTTTGCCAGGATTTCTTCTCCTGGGAAGCTGAGAAGCCTCAGAAAAGAATGAAAACAATAATTATCTGATTGCTTGGAATGTGGTCTGGAAATCGTTTACCAACAGGTGCATCTTTGATTGGTTCCATGGAAATTGTTTTTAATGAATGACCAATCACCATCAGCTGTGCCAGACTCTGAGGATTCAGGAGTTTTCAGTATCATTCTTGTTTAGCTTTCTGAAGTATCCTTTCTCTTTCTTTTAGTATAGTTTTAGTATATAATTTCATAGGATAGGATAGGGATAGGATAGGATAGGATAGGATAGGATAGGATAGGATAGGATAGGATAGGATAGGATAGGATAGGATAGGATAGGATAATAAATCAGCCTTCTGACAACTTGGAGTCAGATTCTCATCTCTCACCTCATCCTGGGGATCTCACAACACCCCAGTGAACAGCCAGGGCTCAGGGCACAGATGGAGGAGGGATGGCAGTGCTGGAGCAGGGTGATCAGTGTCACCGTCCCACGGTCGCATCCGCAAAGCACCGCGGGCCACATGGTGCCAAAATAAAACCTGCAGGAGCTTCCCTCAGCTCCATCCCAATCCCTGCCTGAGACATTTGGGATCTCAGATGGAGGAGGACAGGCTGCTTGGCACACAGGGCACGGATGGAGCAGAGAGCCTCTGTGCCAGGCCTTGGGCGAGCGCCGTGCGTGCTGCCGGCACTGCTGTGCGGGGATGAACTCACTGCCAGCCACCCTGGCCAGGCCTTTGGAGGATGAACTCACTGCCAGCCACCCTGGCCAGGCCTTTGGAGGATGAACTCACTGCCAGCCACCCTGGCCAGGCCTTTGGAGGGTGAACTCACTGCCAGCCACCCTGGCCAGGCCTTTGGAGGATGAACTCACTGCCAGCCATGGTAGCCAGGGCTCTCTGCTGGCCTTTGGGGGATGAACTCACTGCCAGCCACCCTGGCCAGGCTCTCTGGTGGCCTTTGGAAGTGTTTCTCTCCTGATACAGCCATGGAGAAGTCTGTCCCTCTTGTATTTGCAGGAATTTGAAAATGCAAAGCTGCGTCTCCTCGCTCTGGGGAATACTGGAGACAGAGCCTCAGGAAATACAGCTTTGTTAACAAAACTCCTCTGTGGTGTTGGATGAAATTATAATATCAAATGTATAATACATGTATGTATCTACATATTGCTGGAGGCCAACAGTATGAGGCTCAATAAGGTCAAGTGCTGGGGCCTGTCCTTGGGGCACAACAGGCCCTGCAGCTCCAGGCTGAGGGCAGAGGGCCTGGAAAGCTGCCAGGCAAGAAAGAACCAGGAGCTGCTGGTCTCCAGAGGCTGAACATGACCCCGTGTGCCCAGGTGGGCAAGTGGCTTGTACCAGAAATAGATTGTCCCCCTGTACTCAGCACTGGTGAGGCCACCATCACTGCAAGACATTGAGGGGCTGGAGCTTGTCCAGAGAAGGGAACAGAGCTGGGGAAGGGTCTGGACAGTCCCAAGGAGTGGCTGAGAGAGCTCAGCCTGGATAAAAGGAGGCTCAGGGGGGACCTGCTCACTCTCCACAAGTCCCTGACAGGAGGGTGCAGCCAGGTGGGGGTCAGGCTCTGCTCCCTGGCAGCTGGCAATGGGACAAGAGGAAATGGCCTCAAGCTGTGCCAGGGAAGGTTCAGGTTGGATTATCAGGAAAAAACTTCTTCACTAAGATGGTTGCTAGCACTGGAATGAGCTGCCTGGGCAGGGGATGGAGTGATGATGTCTGGAGGTGCTCCAAAAACAGCTGGGTGTGGCACTTGGTGCTCTGGTCTCGTTGTCACGGTGGGATCAGCCAAAGGGTGGGTTCCATCCTGTAGGTCTTTTCCAGCCCAGTGATTCTGTGATAATCACTGTGCCTCACTTCTTCACAATGACTTCTCTGCTCTTCACATGATGGCCACATGTCCTGCCTGCTGCAAAGTACTGAAGATTTCAGTGGTATTTGGAGGACTGACCATAGGATGTGTGAGCAAGAGCCAAGCACCAGCAGTGGACAGACCAGATAAATTGAACCCTTTACTAAAGTTCACACTCATAAGCTGTTTTGGGTTTTTTATGCTAAGCTGTTTTGGGTTTTTTATGCCTTGGTTAGGGTTAAAAATGCACCAATTTCAAGATAAGCATTCTAGAGACAAATTAAGACAAAAAAAAAACAGCTACCTGAACTGAATTCTTCTATCTCCCAAGATATTTTTCTCCTCTTGTCTGAAGTAATCTACCAGCTTTCCAGCAGATGAGCTGGCAGAGGTCCACTGCTAGCAGGACCTTCAGCAGGAAGAGCAGAGTGATCTCTTGAACTTCTTGTGATTGCTCAGATCCTTTGAGGATTGAGGCTTTTGGGTGGCTTTACTCCACCCCACTGTGTCAGCAACTGAAAAGCAAAACCAAGCTCTTCAATGTATTTGCCAGTTTTACAAAAGCTTGTCCTTATCAGCAGAATATAATGAACAGAGAAATATGTTTATGCCTTGAAGGGTCAGTAAAAAGTCAGTAGCAGTGGAGGTGTCTCAGGCTGGTGAGGTTCACTCAGAACTGAGGTGTATTCTAGGGAAACCTTAAAGAAGGGAACAGTCAACGATGAACTCTTGGTGTGTTGTGTGCAGAAATTCAAGCTCAGCTCTGAGCACACAAAGGGCCTCTCCCCTGTGGTTCTGACTCTGGTAATGAGCAGCCTGTGCTGCTGCAGGGTTTAACTGAGAGCCTGGTGAGTGCACTTGGTGAGTGCTGACTCCACGTGGGCTTGTGCTCACTGTGTGTGGCCTTCTGCTTACCTTTGGTCCTGAGTCATTCTCTTCATTGTAACTAACATTAAAGTGTGCTGGAATGGTGGTGAAACCAGCTGTTTCCTTAAAACACTCCAGTGAAAGAGTTCATTACAGTCTTGAACCCGAGTAATACTGAGATGCCCACCAGTCCCATTGGACAAAGCAGCTGCCCTGGCAAATTCTCACTGAAGTCATGAATAAATCTGATCATCAATAAAGAACATGAAGGGATGTTGTGGGTCTGAAGACCACAGACCTCTTGTAAGTGGTGCCACAAGCAGAGTGAAGGAACAAGAGACACTGATAACATGAGCCTTACTAACATTGTTTCTTTTGAATTTTCCCAAATAGGGTCGAGACTGCAGTGTGCCCATTAATTCCTGCATTCAGAATCCATGTCAGAATGGAGGGACCTGCCACCTCACAGAAGCAAATAAAGATGGATTCAGGTAGTAGCACAAAGTTCATTTAAAATGAGATGATAAAATTTAATGTGTTTCTGCTTTGCATTAATGAACTGTAATGGCTCCTTTATAGAAACTGCTGCATGTGGCATTTCCATTTGCCATACTAAACTATTGCTTTGGTTTCCTTGGTGTGACATATCATTTCCTGTGAAACAGGCCTCCTTATTTCCTCATAATGCAATATACATTTAAGAGCTTTTGAGCAGTCTCTATGTTCTGCATTGTGTTATCTGTATCCTAATTTTCCTTGGGGCATTTCAGGCTCACATCTAAGCTGTTTTTGTATTTGTAAAGTGAGCATCTGTTGCTTGACAGCCAGATCCAAAATGTTTTCATACTGAAGAATCTTGCAGACAAACAGGCTTTAAAGAAACAATTAAAAAGCACAGGGAGATTGCCACATCTTAAGCATTGTGCCTGCAAGAGAATAACCTCTGCAGCTGGATATTGTGGATTTCAGTTTGCCCAGATTACAAAAATGTAGCATAGGTGGGGATGCTCTGAGAGAAGTCCAGAAATTTTAATGAGATAGGAGATGGGAGATCTGCACTGCTGCAGGCACTACTTCACAGCTAAGAAAATATAAGTTTGAGCCTTTGGTCATTCGTTGTCATTCAAATTGATAGAAAGTTTCTTTTTTAAAAAGAGCTTCTAGAATTCTCATAGATTTGCTCCTCCATGTTTGTGCTGTTTCTTGCAAAAGAAGAAGCAGTAAACAGAAGAAATGCCCCAGTGCTTCTCTCTGTGCCCACCCTCATGAATTCCCTGCTTCCAGAAGCAGATGCAGCACATGACAGGAGAGAGGACACTGCTGATGTTACAGTGGAAAAGCACAGGTGGATGGGGGTGAAGAGACACTGTAGGCTCTGTAATGAACAGCAGCAGGAGTTTCCAGCATGGAGAACAGGAGCAGGCATGGCCCCATCTCCATCAGCTCAAGGCTCGCCTGGAGCACCTGTGGCAGCCCCTGAGCAGGGCAGAGGAGTCTCCTGAGCCAAGATGTGTCAGCAGGGTGATGGTGTTGGGAGAGGAGGGGGAGGCTCAGCAGGTCACAGTGTGTCCAGGTGGTCCTGCTGCTCAGCAGACTCCATAGATTCTGGTGAAACCACTCCTCTGGTCTGATCTACCTCCTCTTGATTCTGATTTTAGCAGGTCCAGCAATTTTTGGAGTAAAAGTTCACGTTCAGTTTCTGCTTAATGGTCTGGTGGACTTCAGTCCATTTTCCTTTCTGGTCACTCATGTAAATAGCTTTTTCCAGCTTGTGCCAATGTAAAACTGCACCACATTAGAATATCTGGAGTTTGTCACTCAGTACCCATTTTTCAAAAATATAGCTGATACTAAAATTGCAGTAGTAAAACATTTTATAATATCCATAATGCTAGAATGAGAGCCTTCCACATATATTTTGGATCGGGTTTTTCTTTAGCATTTTGTTTGTGGCAGCAGATAAAGAGTTTTGAATGACCTGAATTGAGAGCTACTTCTGCATTTCTCTCCTGAATTGAATGAATTTTACAATTTCTGAGGCTTTGCCTCAGTTCCAAATGAGCATTGTTTTTGAGATCCTTTATAAAACTGCAGGGGTAGTTTTGTTGCTGAACAACATTCGAGGCTTTATAGGGAAGGATTCTGCTTTTTATAGTTATTTATATAGTTTCAGTTGGTCTAATAAAAGACACATAAAACCATATCTCATCAAAACCCTGCTGCATGAAATTGAATGTTCAGCATGTGCATTGCTCCATTTTCCCCTTGTTTTTAATTCAGTCAGTCCATAACCTCTGTGGCTCTGCAGGGCTGTGGAGCTTTAGCATGGCTTCGGGAAATGTGGTGTGGAGATGGAGCAGTCAGTGACAAGGAAGATACAGAAACCTTTCAGGATTGAACTTGGTTGGTTGGGTTGGGGTTTTTTGGTGGGAAATCTCTCCAGTGGATGGCAGCAGTCAGAGTTATGTGCATATAAATTGTGTTCACCAGGATGGGAAAACGCTGCCCTGTGTTATGTGAGGAAGCGGATGTCAGAAACATTTTCATGAGAGGCCTCCTTGGATTTTTTTTTGTTGTGTGGCCTGTAAAAGAAATTATATCTTCTGTATATTCTCTTCCCTAGGGAAATATATTCATACACAAGCCCTGCTGCCAAACTTGTCAAATCTTTACTCTTGTAAAAAGGAAACTTAAGCCAAAGTTCTCTCCCTGTGAAATGCCAAGCTGCTTTAACTCTCAAGTTTCTGTGGCCTTAGACAAGAAAATTACCATTTGAAATAATGCTAAGGTGCTGATGTTCCCCCCAAAGACAGGAAGCTCTTAGTTATGACTGAGATTCCAGCCCAACGCCCCCGCTGTGCCTGGTGCCCACAAGGGCTGTCAGCAGCAGGGGCTGAGGCACTCAGGTTCCCTGGAATGGCAGATCCTGGTGGGACAGCCAAGGGCAAAGGTTCAGCTGCAGTTACTCCCTCCTCTTTTACGCTTGCACTTTTTCAATCCTGAGTCATTTTCATATTCTCTTCCTTCAAGTAGGGGTGACCTCTGTGTTGAGGAATAGATAGGTGACATGGTGTGGCTCAGAGGAGTGGAAATGTGAAGTTCTTTCGTGGTATTTTCTGGGGTCCCCATTGTTGGAAGGAAATTATGAATCTGACTCCATGTTCTTAGAAGGCTAATTTATTATTTTATGATATCATACTATATTAAAGAATGCTATACTAAAACTATACTAAAGAATAGAGAATAGATACAGACAGAGGGCTAAAAGAAAATAATGAAAAACTCGTGACTCCTTCCAGATTCCCAACACAGCCTGACCGTGATTGGTCATTAAGTTAAAACAATTCACATGAAACCAATCAAACAGCCACCTGTTGGATAAACAATCTCCAAACCACATTCCAAAGCAGCAAAACACAGGAGAAGCAAATTAGATAATATTGTTTTCCTTTTCCTCTGAGGCTTCTCAGCTACCCAGGAGGAGAATCCCGGGCAAGGGGATTTTTCAGAAAATATGATGGTGACATTCTTCCTCCCTTTGAATTGCTGATTCTAATCTAATCTGTGCCTGATGTGACAGAAGGTTGCCCAAAAAGTCACTTATTAAGGCTGATGAGAGAGATGGCCAGTGAGACATGTCCTGGTGGTTCAGCACACGTGGAGGGGAGGCTTTGGCAGGAGCAGAGCTGTCACAGGCAGCAGCTGATCCCTGCTAACCTGCGGTGCTGGGACACAAAGGCTCTGGGTTATTTTAACTTTTCTCCATATAAAACCCCCTCCGGTTCCCAGATCGCTTTTTTTAGCATTTTCCACAAACTGTAAGTGCCCTCATAAATGTAAAATCCTGGAACTGATTAACTGCCTAGTGTTAATTCTGCCTAGTTCAAGGAAAAACATTGCACTTCCAGACTTTCAGGCTACTCCATTGGGATCTAGACATAAAAGGCATCTTTACCATGTAATATTCCTGAAAGAATTTACTATATCTATTTAAAAGCGTTTTTGAAACTTGACACACTGTATGGATATCTATTTTAATAAAGAGATGCTAAATTGTTTCATTAGAGTTTATTAAAAAAAATCTAGTACAGCAAAATTTAAAATTGCCAGCTTGAAAAAAAACTTACAAAATGCTTTGGGTCCAAAAGTTTACCCCAAAGTGTTGCCATTTGTGTTCCCTTGAAACTTCATGAGGATAATGGGATGTTATGTAATTCTTTATAGGAAAACACAACATCAATTCCTGAACAGGAGGAATAGGGAATTTGGACTTTTATTAAAACACAGTTGTTTCCTGCATGGCTCCATTGTTTCCAACATGCAAATGAAATGCTGTCTCACACTGCTTCACTACTGAGTCACTGCAAAGTTTTCATCATTGTCTCTGGAATTCATTTTCTCCCTCGGTCAGCTGGAACCCAAGTTTGATGACCTTCCAGTCACTCAGCAGGCTTCATTATTCTTCTTAGCTTTTTTTTGGATAGTACATACAAACAGTCCCAAACTGCAATTCTTTCAACATGTGGTTCAATCCAGGTCCCAAGTTGTATGTTTTATCTTTTCATTTCAAGCCTCATATCTGGGACATTTGAATGCAAATCAAAATAAAGAACTGTACATAAGCAATAATGTAAAGACTCCCTATACTACATAAGGACCAGTAGCCAAATGTCATCAATTATTCTGACATTTCCCTGAGTATGGAATGTGTCCTAATACTGAGCAATTTATGTTAACAATCCCAAATGAATTGTTACTAATGGTATCTCCACTGTGAACCATTACTGTGATAGTGTTTAATAATGTCATTTTTAATTGCATACACCCAAGCTGTCCCAATCCTTTTGTGCAAGGAAAATGGTGTTATGTTCACATAAAAAATCACCAGCACAAAGCCACTCTTGTTGCTTTTCTTTACATGGAGACAAAAATTTCTGTTCCCAAACTGAGACCTTGTCTTCCACGTTGCAGCCTGGAGCATATTTGTATGACCGAGTTACAAACCCCTGAAAATGGGGTTTTGTAATCAAAAATCAAGACATGATGAATGTATCACTGTATTTAATTAGATATCTTTAACCCCCTCCCTGACACTTGCATTGCCACAAAAGATGGTGTGCCAGCTCTTCTTTCTGCCTCCTGTGATCCTCTGGCTCTGGGTCAGCAAGAGGACATGTTTTATTAGCAATAATGAGCTTGAGACAGGAAAACAAAATATTCCTTATTGATTTATTGTGCCCTCAATTGAATTTATTGGAGCAGTTTGGTTTTGGTTATTCGTGGTGAAGGTTTTCTAACCCTCATGACCTGTGGATGGTCCCTGCAGAATGAAGATGACTCTGAATGTGACCAGTGTCCCTCTTCTGTACCCATCTGGGAGATCTTCCTGTTGTGGTGGCTCAAGACACATTCCCTTCCCATTTTTCCTCCTCTTTATGACTCCTTCCTGAGATTGCACATCATGAGGAATCTAACCCAGCCCTGATGATCCAGCCTGGGACTCCTGAGGTGGATGCAGAGCTTTGTGCCATCCCTCCCTTAGGACTCTCTGCACTCTGCTCAGGCTGTGGCACACAGCAGGAAGGGAAGGGAAAATCCTTCAGCTTTTTTCATGGATCCTGAAGAGCTCCTTTTTCCCCAGGGCTTTCCCCATCTCCTGCATAAAGCAGGATAACCACCTCAGGCTCTCTTTGCCTGTCAGAGCTGGAAACAGCACCCTGCAGCCACGTCTGCCTTGGAAATCCTCCTGGTTTCCAAAAGCACTGCATGGCAATTAGTGTGACTGCTGTAGTGCTTTCTGGTTTTCATCCTCATCAATCAGTAGTGCTTTTTATTTGCTCAGTTTCTTTTCTGCCACCAGAGCCTGCATAAGAAAGGAAATGAACAGCAGAGTGAATGTGTAGTTTGGACTGGGGCTCCAAGCAGCCCTTTCTGTGACTACTGAACAGCAATGCTGGCACTTCAAAACTGACATTTCACATATCATTGCTGGCTTCTCAGAAGCCCCTGATATTACTGGAGCACTTAACTCCTGTTTTTAGACTCTCCTTTTGGAAACTCTGCCCTCCACCTCTTCATCACTTACAGATAGTTTAAAATATAAAGGTTCTGTTTGTAACTGTAGCTTCTAGATGTAGAGAGGAAATGGAGATTGAAAAAAAAAATCAAGCCATTCTTCAGCCATTTAGTTTGCTATCTTCCCTCTAGGGACCATACATCACACTCCTGTGAGATAAAATGTCTAGTGCAATTATTCTTCACTAGTGTCCACATCCTCACAGAGCCATTACTGGCTGTGCCATGCTCTGTGTTTTAGTTGAATTATCTGGGCATCATCAGCTCTTCTCCAAATAGATATTGAGGGAGCTGAAATCTTACAGCACTTGTAAAAGCAATCATTCCCAAACATTTCTTATTTGGACAAGTGACAAAGCAGTAATGAGAAGAAAATGCTCATGTCTGTAAACTCAACTCAAGCTGCTGTTCTTTGAAGAGGCTGAGGTATCTGAGAGCTGCCAAGGGACTGTGCAGTCCTCAGCAGGCAGATGTCCACATTCTCACAAAAACATCAACAGGGAGGCCAAGGATTTGAGTATTGTGATGAATGTTTACTCTCCTGCCCTGGAGTTGCTTACTCCAGCTAAGGGCCAGAGTTCCCAATAAAGCAGCGAAGGGAGCATGGCAGAGGCTGGCTCCTGAGGATGAGTTTTGTCTCCTGTAAATAATTACATGACCCCAGGAGCCATCAGACTGCATCTTTCACCAAACACTTGGGGTTAAATTGCTCTATGCCTCACAGCAGCAGTGAATTTGGCTCCAACTGACTTTTATGTTTTCATTTCAGTTTTATACCTCAAACCTCCTGTACCCTTTAGATCCATGCTAACATTTTTTTTTGTTTTTCTTTCTCCAAAGCTGCTCTTGTCCTCTTGGGTATGAGGGGGAGAGGTGTGAAATAAACCCAGATGACTGTGAAGATAATGACTGTGAGAATAACTCTACGTGTGTGGATGGGATCAACAACTATGTGTGTCTCTGCCCTCCTAATTACACAGGTAAGAAAGGGCCACAACACAGAACAAGAATCCATAAGGAGTGCCTGAAGGGAAGGGTCCAAACTAAATAATGTTTATTTAGTGCATGAGCAAATAATGAATTGAAAATCTAGTCCCCTTCTGAACAATCTGAATCTCTTCCTGGAAAAAATGTTAATGTTACTAACATTGCAATATATGTGCTCACAAACATGGCCACTTTTCTGAGACAAAAGACTGATGCCTCACTGTAAAATACATTAAAAAACAGTATTTAAGGGATCAGAGAAGTGTCTACTTCAGTGTGCACATTTTCAGTACTGAGCTGAGCCTGATACCCACCTTGGCTTGAGGTCTCAGGACTCTGCATGTGTTAAATACAGTGAGCCTGCTAAATTCCTGATCTCCATTTCACAGGTGGGTGAGCAAAGGCTCTGTAAGAGGCTGCAGGCTCAGGTGTTGTCTCCAGTGTGAGCCAGGTCAGGGAGCAGGGGCAGCTGCTGGGTCTGTGGTCACAGGGCTTGGGGATGGAGTCAGAAATGGGATGAAATGGAGTCAGATGGAGTCAGAAATGTCTTGCATTGCAGATAAATTCCCTCCTAAACCTTCTGCAAGAGTGTCTGGGTTTGAAAAGCCAGGTGTCTGATAAGGAAGGCAGGAGCCTCCCCTGAAATGGAAAATGTAAACCCACTCCCTCTAAACTATTATAATTTTGAAATTAAGGGGCTCTCAGGCAAAGATACAGGAGCAGGAATAACAGTTCTTTACTAGGGAAGAAATTTTTTTTTTAAAAGTGCAGTAATACAAAGCAGCAGTGCCAGGGTCAGACCATTCCCTGCCCCCCTGTGTGTCAGGGGGTGGCACAGCCCCATCCCATGGGGGCTCAGCCCTCCTGCAGTGCCAGCTGTGGCTCTGCTGGAGCAGGGATCCTGCACAAGGGGGGAGTTTTCCTCTGCAGCTCCAGGGCTGCTGCAGATGGGCCTGGGCTCCCTCTGGCACTGCAGGGCAGCAGAAGCTGCTCCTCTGGCAATGCAGTGGGCAAAGGCTGCTGGGCTGTCCCAAACCTCAGATTGGATCCAGGTAGGAATGCTTGGCTCCTGCCCTGGGCAATGCAGCATCTCCCCATGGGATGCTGGAATTGGATCAGCCCTGCAGGGACACTCAGTGGCCATGGACAGCAGAGATCTCCTGCAGGGAGGATGGGCTGGGGGAGAGATAAAGAAAAAACTGCCCCATGGACAGCAGAGAACTGCCCCACAACAGGAATAGAATACACCCACCCATTTCCAACCTAAGACAGAGAGCAGAGACTCTCCTAAGTGGAATCTAAAAATGGTTTTGCTCAAGGCCTTCTGGAGCATTGCATGGACTCATTGACACAGCCCAGCCCTCCTGGCTCAGCATGGAGGGTGAGGAAACACCTGCAGGAGTTCCTGCTCCAGCCTTTGAAACGGGGTTATTGCCTCCTGAGCATGGAGAAGCAATGAAGGGCTTCTTGTATGCTGGAATATATTACATGTCAGGGGATTTAATGAGGATCAAGCTTGAGTGGCTGAGTAAGGCAGGAGGAAAGCTTCTAGAATTTCCAAACTCTTAAAATACTTTTGTGGCTGATACAAAGGAGGCCCATGGTAAATCTTCAGCTGAGAAAAGCCTTATGACTCAAATGTACATTTATTGGGTCTCTAAAATGATATTTCTGCCAAAACCTAAAAAAAAATTCAGCTTAGCAGAGTAAAGAGTTTTGCTTGTAGGATGTTGAGCCCATTGTGCTTACTTGTGCACTATTTATGTCAGCTACTCTTGGGTGGTTTCTAGCAGAGCTCAATGCAAGGAGGCAGAGTCTTTACATTTACAACAGGAAATGGATTTGACCAGCCAAGAAAAGACATATCCAGTAAGGAACTGAATCCAGCATATATGTAAATGCACTTTCCTCTCCACAGGATTATTGCAGAATCTTTTTTTTTTTTTTTTTTTCCCAGACAATCAAGGTAGGACAGAACTAGATTGGGATTTCTTCTCCAATGGCCATGTGGATAACAGCTAGGGAACTCATGTGATACTTTAGAAAAATTTTTACTCAACTTCCACTGGGTTTTGTTTTGTTGATTTTTGGCTTTGTTTTTTTGTTTTGGTTTTTTTGTTTGGTTTTGGGTTTTTTTTATCTGAATGTTGTCTGTGCTATGCCTCTGCTGATTAGCAGGAGTTTGTCAAATACCAGAGCTCAATGTTGCCATGTGGGTAATATACAGACACAGAAAATGTAAAAATTAATTATTGAAGAAAATAAGGAAATACTTCCAGAAAATACAATATGAATCATAGGTGGAAAAGGTTGCAAAAATAGGAGTGTTTCTTAAATTAGAATATGAAGGGTTACAATAGTTCATGTTGCCTAAAATAGGAAGAGTTTGGTGAACTGTGATACCAAAATTGCCTTAACCTGCTTTACCTCCATTTTGGAGAGGGATATTTCATCAAACCTGCTCAGTCACCTGGCAAGACTGACTGCAGTGCAGCTGCCTGGGCTGAAATGTCCCTCAGAGCTGCCCCTGACCCCACAGCAGGACAGGGAGCAGCAGAAAATGGCTGGGAGAGTTGAAGCCATCAGCCAAACAAAAGCACACACAAGCCAAGCTAACCTGAGCAATGGTTTTGAGGGTCCTTATGAGTTGAATCCTAACAAGGAATGGGGAATCATGTGAAATTGCTCAGCTGACTGAACAAAAGTGTAGGAAATGCCATGGAAGCACAGAGGGAAGTCATGACAGCACACCTTGGAATGGTTTGTGTGTCTGACCTGAAAGAGAGGGAGCTGCTGGCCAAAGAGTTTGACTGAAGTCTCCTGTGACACCCAGGGCATCTCTAGGTATATTCTCTTGAGATGAACCTTTTTGAAGGTCCTATACTGAAGGAATATCTGACACTGCTATGGCAGGAATATTCCTTTTTGAAGGAATATCTGACACTGCTATGGCAGTATCTATTAAAAACAACAAAAAAAGGTAGGTGCAGATGAGTTCAGTATGGGAGAGTATGAAGGCCAAGAGTTCACAGAGAAAGCAGTTCACTCCAGGGGTCAGGAGTGCTTATTCCTGTGCTCAGAACTGTGTTTTGAGGTACCTGCCTCTCTCTGGTGCTAAATGTTGAGTTACCAAACTCTGTGTGCTCCATCTTTGCCAGGTGCATGGATTTGATCTATTTCTTTCAGCAAGAAAGGCAGGGTGTACAGTCCAGGGAAGGAGTTTTCCTCTGAAGTAGGCTGGGGGACAGTGAGCTCTCAAAGGGCACAAACATCCACAGCCAGGCTGTATCTAGCAGGACAGAAAATGTAGGTGATATCTCTTTATGTTGTACCCAAATATTATCCTTAGTTCTGTTCTTAACAGACAGGCAGACAGAGTGAGCTTTTATTTGCCTTTTTTTCCTCACCAACACTTGTATGGAAAACAGAAATTTCTTTGGAAGGTTGACTGGCTGGGTTTTATGGCTGAACAAATCCAGCCTGTCCATTTTTATCAGTGTGATTATGCAAGAGTTGTGGGTTCTATGTACAAATGGGGTTTCTCAGCTGTAGTTAACCCCCATGTTCAGTCAGGAGTGGTCTGTCTGGCACTGGAGCTGTTTCTGCCCTGACAGCCTGGCATGTTTGCAGTAACCTGAGCTTAGAGGTGCCCAGCTCAGTTACTCAGATTCCTGCTTTTCTCCCCTGCCAAGCAGGGAGCCTGAATCCCTCATCACCCCTGTGCTCTTGGATGCCACAATGCTGGTAACAGTGCAGTGATGCTTCAGTAAATTCTGCATTTATAGAACAAATGGATGCTGTAATACAGAAAACAGTCTGGATGCAGGGAAGAAGATCCAAGAGTGTGTCTGTCTGTTGTTCTGTAAGAAATAGTTGGGGTCCCCCTTGGCTTAGTTGAGTAATGGTTAAATCATGATAATAAATCTTATGTTCCTAAATGAAATACAAATTAAAAATGAATGTGTTGAAATTTTTGACTATTGACAGAGTCACAGTATCCAGGCTTTGGTTTTTTCCATACCTTAGTGTGTTCCTGCTCTATCTGCTGTCTGCCTGGTTTTACTTGTTATAGCCTTTTTAGGGAACAATATCCCAAATTATGATGCATGAATTTTGCTTTCATTGGTTGGAAAAATGAAGGCCAAAAATCTTTCTTCAATTAATAAGATTTTGCAGTGTTTTCTTTTAACATTCTTTGACAGTCTTTCCCCCGACTCAGAGTAGATGAAAAATGGCCAATTTGTTAAGTGACTGCTGAGGAAGGAATTTCCCACACTCCAGCCCCATTTCACTTTCATTTAAAAAAATAAAAAAAACACTCCAAAAAGCAGCCCACACTCACACAATAACCTCCTTCCTAGTTCTTTTCCATCTATTAACTTTAAAACAATGTGGAATTACAAATGGATTCCATGAAGTAGTAAATGCAAGTTTAAAAAGACTGAGAGGAGGGAAACAGCTGAATGCCTTAAAAAAGCTTCAAAGCTGAACCCATCATCACCAGGTTTCCCCACCATTCTTAAAATCAATATTTTAAATATTTGTTGCCTGTATTTAAATAACCAAACCAGTCCTGGTGCTGTGTAGCAGATCCTGATGGCTTTAATTGTCTGCTGATATCTTATTTTTCCTCTGGCCCACTGGTTATTTTAATCCTGAAGCTGAATTATAAACATGTAATTCCTCCAGGACAATCATGTACCCAAACCCAGCCAGCTCTGAGGAGTCTGGGGCTGTTTTACCTGCTGGGACTTGGGTGGTTTACAGCTCCTCCTTGCAGTTCTGCAGGATCTCCTTCCCTTCAAAAAGAAACATCCATAGGGACATCAAAAGAGAAGGATGTGCATTAGATCAGTCACCCTGGTTCTTGCCCTTTTTGTGTTTTCCTCATCTCTGCCTTTTTGGCTGTAGCATGGTCTGTCTCCAGCCATTGATACAAATATTGTGTTTTCCCTTCCGCTTTGTGGTGTAGGAATGTGGGGCAAAATTCAGA